CACAGCCCTGTGTCTCATCTCTCCATACTCAGGAGCAGGAACTGGGTCCGACACTGAACAGAAGGACCAACATGAAAACAAAAGAAAGCAGAATGTAGACAGTTCAGCGGATGATGAACTCAGCCGCTGCAACTAACAACCTTTCAAAATCTTTAATATCGTTTGCTTTCTACCAAGGGAACTTCTGAAATTGGGATACTTTTGAGATGAAGAGCTGTACCCCGAGCCAATCGTGTGGTGCGTGAACATCCGCAAACAGATTTCGTCCGAATGCTTTCCCTCCCGCAACGCATACATTCAGTTCAAACCTTCTTGTTGTATAAAAATGGAGTTCCAACCTCCATCATCCTGTCCTCATCTTATGAGGCGATCCCAGCTCTTTCTCTCAACAAATCCGACTTCTATAATCATCGTCTCTTAGATCATTCAGAAGAGTTTCACAATGTTGAACTATACCATCTTTTCATACAGGCTATCCGACCAATCCCAGAAGAATCTAATACCAAGACTATGCCCTGAACTTTGGCTTTCGAATCAGCAAGCTATTTTCAAGGAAAAAGTGAAAAGTTCCTGAATAAATAGATTTTCAAAAAACTAGTAAGCGTTCTTACTTCGGTTAACCTGCATAGACGTCTGCTAGGTGAAGATTGCCTCAAGAGAAATTGAGAAAATGGTTGGCACAAGACATCAGATGGAAGCAGGAAAACATCTGAAAAGTTTCCCGTATGGAGTAAGAAGGAAATGCCAACCAACGTTAAGCCCGAGAAGTGAAGGAACTATCTNTCCCATAGACCGTAATCTCTTCGCTCCGAAGATCAGCCGACGTGACACTACTGTTCAGTCGATGAATCATCGTGGCAATACCTATAATAACTGAATATAAACAGAAGAAAACAAAAAACAAAATAAAATATAGAAATTTGCATAATCAAATTAGTTTCGAAAACAGTTGAGGTGTCATTAAAAAGCTTTGTGCAATTACAGTGACCTACGTAAGATCACGTATATCCGCAAGAAATAATGACAGTTATTAGAACGATTGGAGTTGCCGTAATTAGCAGTGGGTCAGACGTTCATGGACAGAAGCAGTAAATATATACAAACATTGAAAGAGATTGAATATTTTGTATGATATTACCTCCCGGTTGGTTGGGATTCGACATCTCCTCCAATTCAATTATGATGTTCGAGCTGACACGTTCTGTCACGAGAATGCCACACATGTTTCTGAGAACACGTCGTGCATTTTCGAACTTTTCTAAGCAAGGTGTCTGCCCAGACACAAATTGACCAACGAATTAGCATATTTCTGAAAATTGATTACATAGTCAGATTGAGATTTTGACTCTGATTATGAATATCAAAACTATTTTTCATTTTTCAAACCTCTTTTTCCGCTTGAAAGATGGCGTGTCATCGCCACTGCTTTTGTGCAATCGCCTCTACAACGACCAGTTGAACAGTTTTACGTCTGTTCAGTCCTGTCTGAGTTATCATATAATTATTCTGTATCTGTGGTGCAGAGAGTCTACCACCCACTGCATCAGTGCAATCGTCTCTCGAACGACGAAAATGTAATGAACATTGAGGGATAATCACGTCTGCTTATAGGAATCACACTACGCAACCAGAGAACTTGTCCTAGCTTCTAATATCTCCAGATGCTTTTGACGATCAAAACAAAAAAAAAGATCTGAAAACCGTGAACTTTGCGCGGAGTTTCAATCTTTTGACTGATTAGGGTATGTGAAGCCTTAACGCTGCATGTTCCATTCTCACAAATG